CGATAATTAACAGCTATAACAATCCAAAGAGGAGTGAAAGAGGAAGTCATGGGTTGGGATGGTCAGGGAAGTTGTGGGTACTGAAAAATCAGGAGGGAGAACCTCCCTCATTGTCTTTTCCTTGGGAATCCCAGGGGAATCACAACCATTCAGACCTTCTCTTCATTGGTAAAATTAAAGGGCTGAACTTCCTATGTTAACATCCTATTAAATGAGCTAATGGACATTAGCACACTTTTTAACAAATGCTATACTTGCTCACTCGTGTCTGACTCTACAGGACCCCATGGGCAAACAAAGGGGTTTTCTTGGCAAAGATACAGGAATGGTTTGTCATTTCCTTCTCTAAACTGTCCTTATTTTACAGATGAGGAACTGAGGCAAATAGGGGTTAAGTGACTTGTCCAGGGTCACACAGTTGGATTTAAACTCAGAATTTCTGGACTCCAGGCTTGGTGCTCTATCTACTGCACCACTTAGCTATCCACCAAATGCTACACAGATGTGCAATTGTGATCAAGTTCATTCTGAGTTCTAAGGTTCCTCTTAGTTTTGACATTCTATAATCGAAGGTCCCATTCAATTCTGGCATGTTTCTGTTCTAAGAACTCTCTTAGTTCTAATGGTCTGTGTTCCAAAATCCATGGAAGTTCTGATATTCACATTCTAAGGTCTCTTTTAGTCCTCATGTTCTACTTTCTAAGGTCCCTCCTGACATTCCAGGTTCTCAGGTCCCTTCCAGCTCTTGAGATTTCATGTTCTATGACCCATCTCAACACTAACAGTCTGTGTTCCAAGATCATAATATTAATTCTGACATTCCACATTCTAAGGTAAATTCTGGTTCTGACATTTTGGAGTTTCTTCTAATTCTAACATTCTCCTGTTTGTTTTTTTTTTTCCTTTTTTGGGTAGACCAATTAGTATATTACAGAAATGAATGGATCCCAAAAGGTCTTTGGAAGCTATTTTTTGTACACAAGAACACAAACCTAGAGAGAAACACTTTGACAACAGTCCACCATCAAGCTCAGGTTTTATGAGATTGTGTTTCCCCCAAAGATCAGGCTTCAAATTGAGGGGAAAATAAAAGAAGGTAGGGAGGTGGGAAAGAAAAGGGAAGAAGACAGAGAAACACAAGGGAGAAAAGGAATTAGAAATGAAAGGATTAAAAGGAGGCAGGCATGAAATGGTTGCCATTGCACCATCATCCATGCCATACTGGAGCTGGGAAGGTAAGGGATGGGAGGTAGACTAGAAGACGCCTCCTAGCAGAGAACCTCAGGCAACAGAAGGTAATTTTATCTGAGCTTCTATCGCCACCTTGTGGCCGAATTTCCTCATGATGCTCTGAGTTTGTCTCACCTCATTTCTGGATAGGCTCACTTCTAGTTGGTTTCAAGACCTCTGTGTCTGGGGATGGGGGCTGTCTCTTACCTGAAAAGAGATTATTGTGCTTGTCAAGGCTGGGACATGAGATGCAATGTCTGGGGCTCCCAGAGGAGGAGTCCAGCTAGGAAAGGGTGGAGACAGGGCAGTGATTTTGGACCCAAACATGAAGTGAGCGCCCAAGGATAGACTCCCTTTCTCAGCTCAGGATCCATGTGCTGGATCAATTTCTCTCTTCTCCCAGGCTAGGTCTTTCTCTTGATCTCTGAGAAAGCATCTCAGAGTCAACCAACCAAGCAACATGGAAGATTATCAGCCACTTGTAATGACAATAAAGGCATACATTTATAGAATCCTTTCTGAAGTTTACAAAGGCTTTGCCTCAAAACAATCGTGATTTGGCTAGTGTTAATGTGAAAAATCCCCATTTTACAAGGGTGGGAACAAGGTCTCAGAGTGGAGCTTCTGCATAAGGTCAGGTAGCTGGCATCAGGACCCAGATTTTAACTTGGGCAATTTGACTTCTTTGCCTAGTCCATGCAAAAATGGAATTTCTGTCCTTATGGAGCATACAGTCTGGTGACACTCATTCATATATGCACATACTGTATGCTAACCTTCAGGTTAGCAAAGCATACATTATCTCGTTTGACTCTCACAGCAACCTTGTGAAGAAGGTGCTATTATTATTATTCTAATTTTATAGTTAAAGAAACTGAGGCAGACAGAGGTCAAGTGACTTGCTCAGGGTCACACAGCTATTAAGTGCCTGAGGCTGGATTTGAACCCAGGTCTTCCTGACTGCAGGCCCAGAGCTCTATATATTGCACCACCTAGACCCTTTAATAGATGACTGGCCCCTCTCTGTCCTCAATCAATTTCCTGGATGCAACATTTCATCCCAGTTCTTGAAGGTAACTCATCAATGAGGATGTCCACTACTTATGTCCACTGGACATCTCTGTGCTTCCCTTGGTTCACCCATGGCTTTGATTCTTCAAAAGCTGTGTTATGTTATGATGTAGCCACCTCTTATTGCTGTAAGGACGTTGGCATTTGACTATACCTGTGTCAGGGGGCATCTGAAAGCCCATGCAGCTCCCCAAAAGCTTATAGTGTTGTGGGATTATAGATTGAAGGATGGAAGGGCCAGCCTCCTTGATATGACCATTTTTTTAATGGTTAAAGGTTTTATTTTAAAATCACAGATAATTACAATTAACACAGTCTTTCATTCGTAGACATATTCCAATTGCAGGCTGTAGCTTTGGAGAACAAGAGTTATTCTGGGAAAAATCTTTACTTTAACAGCCACTCATCGAGATGAACAATAAAGATAAGCCAGAAGTGAGATACGGGGGCCCAGACTAAGACCTACGCACCAGCAGCCACAGGGCCCCCTCCTGACTTGCTTTTTGGAATCTTACATGTACAATTGGTTCCAAAGCTGGTATCCTGAGTCTGGAGGCAGTGAAGGCTGCACAGATCTTCATAACTTTGTTTTTGCCATTCAGCAGTCAAGCTCTGATCTGCATAACCTTTAATTCAGGGCTCACACAATTCTCTCCTTATGTCTTTCCTCTTAAAAAAAGAGGATATATATAATATAAATAAACATAAATATTATGCATATACATACATACACACACATATAAATACGTATATTCCTGGTGATGAATCCTGAAGATTGGCCAGAGGGATTTCATTTTCCTCTTTTCTTCCTGAGGTTCAGTTTCAGCCTCTGTCATCTTCTGATCCAATTCACCCAGGGTTGGTTTGATTAGCTCCCAGCCATCTAGAGGAGCTTTCCTGCTTCTTTTTACTTTGGACATCTTTGACTGCTCTGACAGCTACCAGCCCAGGTTTAATTTCTTTCCTACAGCTCTGCCCCAACTCTTGCTGCCTGTTTTTTAAAAATTATTTTTTATTTCTTTTTTTAGGCAGTCAGAGTTAAGTGACTTGACCAGGGTCATGTAGACTTGACCAGGGTCATGTAGCTAGTAAGTGTCTGAGGCCAAATTTGAACTCAGATCCTCCTGACTCCAGGCCTGGTGCTCTTTCCAATGTGCTACCTACTTGCCCCCCCTTTTTAAAATTTCTTTCTAACATTCATTTAAAATTTTTTTGAGTTCCAAATTCTCTCCCTCATTTAGCCCCTCCCCCACCCATTGAAAAGGCAAACAATATATCAATTAACATATATAAAATCATGCAAAACATATCTCCATATTAGCTATGTTGCAAAAAAAAGCAAGAAAAATAAAGTGAAAAAATTAAACTTCAATTTGCACTCAGTACATTAATTCTCCTTCTAGAGGTAGATAGCATTTTTTTTTATCACGAGTGCTTCAGAATTGTCTTGGATTAGTGTATTGATCTGGCCGCTAGGTGGCACAGTGAATAGAGCCCTGGGCCTGGGGTCAGGAAGACTCCTTCTCCTGAGTTCAAATCTGGCTTCAGACATTTATTAGCTGTGTGACCCTAGGGACTATAGACTTTGAAAACTGCAATGGCCCTTAGAATCTGAGTCCCTTGTTTTGCAGATGAGGAAACTGAGGCCCCCAGGGGTCAGGTGATTTGGTTAAGATCACACAGACAGTGAGCAAGCAAAGCCATGTCTTTTGATTGCAAATCTAGGACTCTTTCCATTATACAACACTGTCTTGAATTAGGGACCAGAGCAACATGCCAGCATCCTTTCATTCCTGATCTAAGAGAAATTACTGAGCTGTGTTCCTGCCTGCCAGCCCCCCCCCCCCCAGCCTCCAGCCGACCTCGGAGCTCCCATTGGCACTGCCCTGGACAGATGCTCCTCACTCCTCTCCACCCTCACCCTCACATCAGGACTAATCTGCCTGTCAGGGATTGGACAGCTGGGTAGCCAGATGGATGAATGCCTTGGGAAGCCATTTCTGCCCCTACCAGAGGGCTGGTGCTAGGGGCCACAGGGTGATAAAGCAGTTTGGTTTCCAGAAGAAAAAGAGCAGGGACGTGAGGGCTTCGTCCTGGCGGGAGCCTTGTGCAAGCTTCAGCTGTCCTTTTCTCTGCCTCTGGAGACCTTTTGGGAATGGGTGAATTTTCATTTGGGTTTTGGGGGCTAGTTGGGGCTTTGGCCTTAGAATTGGGGGAAGGGCTGATTCTAAGGGTCTACTGGGGATCCGGGAAGGGGCTGGAGAATGGGGGGAAGTTATGGGGATTAAAGGCAAGCCAGAGGGCTTCTGAGACTCTCCCCTAATCCTATGGGCTAATACAGAACAGAAATGTGGGAACTCGTTTTGTCTTTTCCTTTCTCTGTCCTTATGCCCCACTCTGTTAGACACTATCACTGCTCTGTCCATGGTCCCTCCTCCTCAGTCTCAGTCCTGTCTTCCTCCTTAGCTCTATCCCGCTGAGTCTCCCTTTCTGCCCTGTCCGAACCCTCCATTTCCTGAACTGACACCATTTCCTGCCTCTCTCCCCCACCGCCTGAGGCTCCCTCATTTCTTCATTGTTGCCACCTCCTTCCCAATCTCTTAGGTCCCTCTCTTTTCCTGACTCAGTTTCCCTGCTCACAGGGTATCCCAGAATCTGGTGCTGAGTCCCTGTAAGGACGGAGAGCTTTCTTTGAATCCATGGCTGGGTTGAAGCCCCAGGTAAGGAGCTCATTTGAAGGAAGTCTCACACCAACCCCTAAGCCCCCCCCCAGCTACCCTTCCAAGTAGTTAGAAGTAGAATTAGGATATATTCTAAACTCCTTTCCAGCATAAAATTCAGTTCCCACTTTCACACAGAGCTGGGAAGGCCTTAGAACCCAGAATGTCAAGGCTAAGAGGGCATTTAGAATACAGGATGTCAGATCTGGAAGGGGCCTTAGAACCCAGAATGTCAGGGCCGGGAGGGCCTAAGATAACAGAATGTCAGAGCTGGAAGGGGCCTTAGAGATGATCTGTTCACTCAGTGTTTACTCCAAGTATTGGATAGAAGGTGATAGAGAAAGGACCATACTTACTTTCTGGGAGCCTTCTTGCGGAAAGAGGTGTGGGGTTTGTAGGGTTTGACAACAGAATGGGGCTGGTGGGGGATGTCATACTAAGCCTAGGAAGGTCTCCTTGGTCCCTTAAGTGCAGAGCCACAATTGAGAAGGGAGGGGAAAGGTTTCCAGAGTCTGAAAATCACTTCCATTTTTCGCATCCTAAGAAGGAACAAGGCTAGAGGCTAGAGAGGATGCAGCTGGCAGATTAGAGATAAAGACCCATTCCCTCAAGAGAGAGATTATTGGAACAAATCCTGGGGTTAGAGCCTGATGCCAGGGATCAGCTGAGGGCAGGAGATGAGGGTGATCCTTGGCAGGACATCAGGGCTGATTGATTTGGGGTGACCTACTCCTGCTTCAAGATGGAGGAAAAGCACCAGCCTCATGTTGCCCCTCCTCCTCCTCCTCCTCCTCCTCATCTACCAACCGAGTTTCTGTGATAGCCCTGACTGGTGTCTAATACACAGCAATGTCTCATTTCATCTAGAGGCTCTGGGATCCAGGATCCTGGGGGAAGAGATGTGGCCTAGCTGGGCTCGGGCAACCCCCCTGAGCCGGCTTGGCTGGTTCCAGGCAGCTTATGGGCAAGGCTTGGGCTGCTGCTGTTCTCTATTACGGGCTCCCACATCAGCCTTATGGCTTTTCACTGTCTTGAGAGCAAGGTTAGAGGTAGGGTGGGCAGCCTGTATGCCATTCCATGTGTACTGTACCCCAGCCATCTAGAAGTTGACAGAGGATTCAGTGTGGTGGAGGTGGAAGGAACTTGGCAGTGGAAATCAACCTACTTGGGTTCTAGTGTTTGCTCTGCCATGAACTGGCCACATGACTCTGGGCAAGGCAGGTCACTTCTAAGGAATTAAATTGGCTTATCTGTAACATGGGGATAGTGGTAACATTGGATTCATTAACCTCCAGGGTCTCTCCCAGCTCTGACATCCTGTGTTCTAAGGGCCCTCCCAGCGCTGACATCCTGTGTTCTCAGGTCCCCCCCCCAGATCTGCCATCCTGTGCTCTAAGAGCCCTCCCAGCTCTGACATTCTGTGTTCTAAGGCCCCTCCCAGCTCTGACATTCTACCCTTCTATGGTTCTAATTCATTCTAGTTGTTTTCCAGTTCACCCCCATGAGACATTAGAGCACAAAGCGAAATCAGTGGCATCTGGACTCTCATCCCGAGGGAAAACACACCTGGTGCACACTCCCAAGAATGCCCACCCCAGCATCCCACTTCCTTTTCTTACTAACTGGGGTGACATGGGCATCACTCAAGAAGTGTAAGCGTAGCAGGGGAGGTCAGAAGGAGATTAAGGCTGAAGACATAGGGCGATAGTGGCAAGTGCCTCAGGAGAGCTAGCTCCTTGTCCTCTCCACCATTGCCTTGCTGTGTGACCTTGATAAGTTAGATGTCCTCTCTGTGCCTCAGTTTCTCCATCTGTAAAACAAAGGTTTGGACCTGATGGCCTCTGAGAGTGTCCCATTCACTCCCCTGGGTGTCTCATTTTTCCTTTCTTGGAATTCTACCAGCTGTATTTTGTGTGTGCACATGTGTGTATGTGCTGTAGATCTGTCCAGGGCTGACACTGCCCAAGGTGAAGGGAAGGTGTGCTCCAGCACTGGCCGGCTTCTTCTTCCTCCTGTCGGTGGCTATGATCGGCTGCTTTCTGTGGCAGTACCACCTCCGGAAGGCAGGGCTCGGTGAGTGTGGGAATCTGCCTGTCCATTCTTTTGTCACACCTTAGAGTTCTAGGAGCACCTATTCCCACCTCCCCACCCCTCCACTTGCAGAGAGTGGAGTGGAAACAGTCCTGGATTTGAGTCACAGGTACTGAGTTCAAATTCTGACTCAGGTATTTGTTATATGAACTTGGGCAAGTTGCTCTCTGGACCTCAGTTTCCTGATCTGTAAATTGAGGAATTTGGACCAAAGGATCTCAGAGATTCAGTCCAGATAGAAATCTCTATTATCCCATGTTCCCCAACGCATTATTAGCAATTTTTGTACTTTGGGCACATGGCACAAAATGAACCTTCATTTCACTCGGGGGAGTGGGGAGTGATGCAGTTGCAGCAGAGACCTTTGGGTCCAAGGGGGCCACTGCTGGAAGGCCACTGGTGGGGAGGGATTGGACTGGGGAGGAGCTTACTGAGAATTCTGTGATTGGCTGCTGATGGGGGTGTAGGGAAGAGGGAACATTCTACCTGGTAGCTTCCTATTTTAACCAATTATTCCTGCTGGGTATATACCAAATAGAGTTGTTTCTACACCCTTAGGTGACTGCATTTGTTGTTAATGTCCCTTGAATTTCAGCACCTCAGGCCAAAGCCCCAGTGGCACCATTCTAGTTACACATTCAGATTATGGCTCTTAAAGGAATCCCCTACTTTCTCTCACCCAATCCACTGCTCCTATTGACACAGGAAGCAATAGGTAGGTAGTGACTTTCACACCTGATATCCCCTCCCGCAAATCTAAAGCTCATACACATGTGCATTGATAGAGAAGTCACCAGGGGGTTCACTCTACCAATGAGATCCTGGACCCAGCCCCTTTCCTTAAGGGCTATCTAAATGGTATTATCATAATCATTCAGTTCCCATTAATGCCAAGGCAGGTAGTCGGCAATAATAACTATATCTCTCTGCAACTTACAAAGGGCTATTCTCACAACCCCACTGGGAGGCAGGAAGGTTGTACAAGTATCATTTGTCCCATTTTACAGATGAGAAAACTGAGGTTCAGACTTGGCCAAAATCACTCAGTTAATCCATCAACCAACTTTTATTTATGTGCTAAGAGCTGGAGATAATGAAGACAAAAATGAAAGATTAATCCTATACTTAAGGAACCCCAATGGGGGGAGCTGGGATTGGAAGCCTGGCTGCTGATTCCAATTCCATTGCTCTCACCAGTAGCCCTAGGGACTTCTTTGTATCTCTAGTGCTCAGCACAGTGCTTGGCACACAGCAAGTGCCTTGATAGATGTTTGCTGACTGACTGGCGGGCCCTCTGGCCCTCCCAGTGAATGACCTCATTCATTGTCTAGGCAGGGAGGTATTTTAGAAAGGCCTGATACTGGGAATCAGGAGGCCTATATGTCCTTGCCTCTGCTTTTTACTAGCTATGTGCCTTGGAGCCAGTCACCCTGGGACTCAGTTTTTTCTTCTGTAAAATGGGGATAACAGCACTCACACCAACTACCTTGGAGTGTTGCTGGGAAGAAAATCCTTTGGGAACTGTTTGGTGCCATATTTGTTATTCTTCTCTGTAGGTGCCTCTGTCATGGAAGTGACCTCAGAAACTGTGAGGATGTGTCCCCGTTATCCAGAACCCGTGCCCCTAGAGCATCCCCTCCCTGTGTTGAAGGAGGCCCTGGAGAAGGTCCGTGTAAGCCAGGGGGAACAACGTATACAGTGACCACAAAAACAGATAGGACTGAAACATGTCAGAACCCAGATGATCAAGCATGCTAGAGAAGTGGGGGACTACGGGTACGGGATGAGGCGTACATTGGCAGACACGGCCAATCTCTACTACTTCTTTTTTACAAAGGGGGATTCTGTTAGGTCAGAGGGGTTTCACTTCTGGAAGATGGGGAGGGAGTTCAGTGTGGAGACAGGGAAACAGTGGTTTGGTCAAGAAATTCAGGGGAACGGTATGTGCAGTGTGGGGGAAGCTGGAGCTGAGGGTGGAGGGGCCCCATGTGGAAGAGAGTGTTCTGAAGACGGAGGACTGTGTGGTGGGTCAGGCCACGGCCTACGGGAATTCAGCTCCTCCAAGGCTGCCTCTCTGCTCCCCACAAGGTGGACAAAATTCTGCGGCAAACTGCCTCGGGCCTCAAGGCCATGTCTGCTGTGGTGATTTACAATGACACTGTGCTGTGGACTGGGAACTTTGGCAGGAGGAATGGCTCAGACAGGGCCTCAGGGCCCCCCAGCGAATATACCATCTACCGGTGAGCGTGACAGATTTGAGGCCTTGCACTGAGTGTGTGGGAGAGTAGGGGGTAGGAAACGGGGAAGCTGGCAGGGAAAGAAGGGAATGTTAGCAGCAGGCCTTGAGTCTTGGCCACAAACTTCTGAAACAAGATGGGCTGCAGGCCCCCCTTCCCTACTGTAAGAGCATTGAGAGTTAAAACTCACCTTAGAGACCAGCTGGTCCAATCTTCTCATTTTACAGATGAGGAAACTGAGGCCTGAATAAGAGACATAACTTGGGGTTGTAGATCCAGGGCTAGAAGGGCATCTGAGTCACCTTCAGCACTTTACAGATGAGGACACTGAGGCCCAGAGAGGTTAAGTAACTTTTCTAAGATTATACTAAGTGGCAGAGTCAGGATTTGAACCTGGGTCCTCTGGCTCCCAATCCAATGTTCTTCCCGTCGGCACCTGAGGTTTAGCTTGAATCACTAATCTTGTCATTTTAGCCTGTACCTGGGAAGCATGTGATATAGTGGAAAGAACACCAGTTCTCTGTATAGCAGACCTTCAGAGATCTGACAGCAGTTAGGATCTTCCCCTTCTCTAGAATCAGAGAACCCTAATTCTCCTGTTTGTCTTATTCCTAAGTACTGCAATAATCTGATAACTTTCAGAGTCACTATCAAGTCATAGACACAAAACACCAGGGAGGAAACTGAGATTACAACATAGTTCAAGAATAAAGAAAGCTAGAACTGGAAGATACCTTAGAACATAGAATCTTGGAGATGAAAGTGACTTTAGAACATACAATGCATGAACTGGAAGGGTCCTTAGAACATAGAACCTTAAAGCTGGAAGAGACCCAGGACATAAAATACCAGAGGTGAAATGGACCTTAGAACCCAGAATGTCACATCTGGGAGTGGCCCTTAGAACACAGGCTGTCAGAGCCGGAAGAGCCCTTAGAACATGGGATGTCAGGGCTGGGAGGGCACCTAGAGATCACCTTGGTTCCATAATCTGTCCTACACCAGTGACTCTATCTTATAAAGCAGCCCATTCAACTACTAAAGAGTTTACATAGTTAGAAAATTCTTTCTCACATACACCTGTAATTTGTTACCCTGTAACATTCACCCACTTCTCCTGGTTCTACTCTCTGGACCAGAAGAAGAATAGTAATCCCTTGAACCCATGCCAGCTCCTCAAATACTTGAACACAGAATTCATTACTTCTCTGCCCTCGCTCCCAGTGTCCTCCTTGCCAGATCAAACATCCTTAGTTTTCTCAAGTGGATCCTCCAGTGCTTTCAAGCCCAGCCCTGGTGTCCTCTAGGCCCCTGGTGGGTAGGATGGGAGGCGGGGCCGTGGGGAATAATGCTGCTGCCCCTTGGACAGGATTGCCAGCATCTCCAAGATCTTCCCCACGCTCATGCTGTACCGTCTGTGGGAGGAAGGCATAGTAGTGTCCCTGGATGACCCCCTTGAGCGTTATGCCCAAGGCTTCAGGATCAAAAACCCACTTGGAGCAGGGCCGCGCCCCGTCTGGGAAAGCCTGATGGATGGGCTGGAGAAGGGGGCCCCACCCCTCAAACCTACGACAGTAACGCTCCGAAGAATGGCGAGTCAGCTTTCAGGTGAGAAGATCCCCTGCACCTATAAACTCGGAGATGGTTGTGGAAACCCAGTAGGGTGATGGAGAGACAGTATTTTAATAAAAATGAAGCTAGGCAGCTAGGTGGCTCAGTGGTTGGAACACCATGCCTGAAGTCATGAAGGCCTTAGGTCAGATCCAGCCTCAGACACTTACGGTTGTGTGACCCTGGTCAAGTCACTTACCTGCTGCCTGCCTCAGTTTCCCCAACTGTAAAATGGGGATAATAATAGCACCTACCTCCTAGCATGCTGTGAGGTAATATTTGTAGAGCACTTAGTAATAATAGGTGATTAATAAATGCTTATTCCCTCATTCCCCTACCTCATAGAGTTATTGGGAGGATCAAATGAAGTGATTAATGGATAAGAAAGTGCTTTGAAAAATACAAAGCTGATAAATACAGGTGGTTGGGGTCATCAGTAAGAATCTGTCATAGATAGAAAGCATAAATAAAGTAAACTGGGAATCTGATACAGAAAATTCAGTCCTGAGAACCCACACTCATATTTTTGTTCATGCTGTTCTTTGTACCCAGTGTGCACTCTTCACTACTTCTTCCCCTCCTCCTAATCTCTCCCTTTTGAAATCCTACTTATCTTTTTTTAGGCTCCTCCCAATACCATCTTCTCCATGAAACATGGTACAGTGGAGAGAGAGTTCAGGTTTGGACCTGGGTTCGAATTTTGCCTCTGCTCTACTCTCTATGTGACCCTTGGCACGGCACTGGTCTCTTTGGGGCTCAGTCTTTTGTCTGTAAGATGACCTCTGAGGCCCCTTGTAGCTCAAGAGTGAGGCTCTCAATTCATAATAGCTTTCTACATCTGTGTGTAGGGGCAGCTGGGTGCTACAGTGGATAGAGCACCAGGCCTGGAGTTGGGAAGACCTGAGTTCAAATCCGGCCTCAGACACTTACTAGCGATGTGACCCTGGGCAAGTCATTTAACCCTGTTTGCCTCAGTTTCCTCATCTGTAAAACAAACTGGAGAAGGAAATGTCAAACTACTCCAGTATCTTTGTCAAGAAAACCCCAAATGGGATCACGAAGAGTCAGACACGACTGAAATGACTCAACCACACATCTGTTTATGGGCCATGTTCTATTTCCCACATCTTTATATACATTCTTGCTGACGAGTTCCCTGGAGCTCCTCCTTTTTTTTTTTTTTGCTTAGGCAATTGGGGTTAAGTGACTTGCCCAGGGTCACACAGCTAGTAAGTGTTAAGTGTCTGAGGCTGGATTTGAACTCAGGTCCTCCTGATTCCAAGGCCAGAGCTCTATTCGCTGTGCCACCTAGCAACACCCCAACCCCCGCCCCCTGCACTCCTAAAAGGGAATGGGACTGGGGACTAGTTTTCCTAACTCTCAGCCCTTTGATCCTCCCTCTACAAGACGTTTAGCCTTCCCTACTCCAACCACGCCCTACTGGGTCAGGTGCTGTCTCTTCCCTCCCTTTCTTGCAGGGCTACCCAGGAGACTCCGCTCAACCACCCTGCTGTGGCGGGGAAGCACAGAGGATGCCCTGGCTCTCCTGAAGGATGACGTCCTGGTGGCTGACCCTGGAACCAGGTTGGGGAAGCTCTTCAGGTTCCTGCACTGAGAGAAGGCTGTTCCCAGCAGGGCCAGGGAGCCTGCTGGGGCCCTTCTCAGGCCCCTGGAGGAATTCTGTTTGAGAAAAGCGTTGAATGTTAGAATGAGGAGAGCTCTTAGGACACAGGATGTCAGAGCTGGGAGGGCCCTTAGAACACAGGATGTCAGAGCTGGGAGGGCCCTTAGGACACAGGATGTCAGAGCTGGGAGGGCCCTTAGGACACAGGATGTCAGAGCTGGGAGGGCCCTTAGAACACAGCATGTCAGAGCTGGGAAGACCCTTAGAACACAGGATGTCAGAACTGGGAGGGCCTTTAGGACACAGAATGTCAGAACTGGGGGAGACTCTAGAAAAGAGAATGTCAGAAGTGGTTGGGCTCTAAGAGACCACCTAGTCCAGGCCCCTCATTTTACAGAGGAGAAGGCTGAGATTCCAGAGTGAGGATGTCCCCTAGCTGGGCCACATCCAGGGATCTGGACCTGTGCGCCCACATTGCAGGTCTCTGCTCTTATTCCAGGTGTCATTACAGCACTCTGGCCTTCTCCCTGCTGGCCCACGTGTTGGCCAGGCACACCAACAACGGGGACTACCAGCAGTGGGTGTCTGAGAATATCCTGGATCGGCTGGGGATGGAGGACACAGGCTTTGACCTTGTGCCCTGGGTGCAGGCCCGGATGGCTTCAGGCTTCTATGGCAGTGGGCATCCAGCCCCACTCTATGACCTTGGCTGGTACCGCCCCTCTGGTCAGATGTATTCCACACCTGCTGACTTGGCCAAGCTGGCAATGGTGCTCCTTGGAAGTGCCCCCCAGGGTGTCTTGGCACCAGATACGCTTAAGACCATGCTGACTCCTCTCCTCACCTGTCCTGGGACCTACTTTGCCAACCAGACAGGCACACCATGGGAATTCCACGCCCAGCGGGGATATAGCATTGTCCGGAAGGACGGGGACCTGGATGGCTACGCGGCTACCTTTTCCCTGGTCCCTCAGCTGAAGCTCAGCTTCATTGTGCTCATGGCTGGGCCCCGTCCGCCTGGGCTGGACCTGGTGACCCAAGTGTATGATATCCTCATCCCCGCCATGGAGATAGCCTTCCGGGAAGTTGAGGGGAGCCTGGCACCACCGCCTACCCCTGGCCCTTACTTGGGCTTCTACACCTATGCCAACCTTACCTTCTATGAGATCCTCCTAGGGCCCTCAGGGGTCCTTTGCATGCGGCAGTTTGGACCCCAAGTGGAGAAGCTGATCCCAGCCAAGTTCCAGACCCTGAAGCTGCATCACCTGCAGGGCCGGGTCTTCCAGGTGGTTGTGGACAAAGAGTTCCCCTGTGTCCTGCCCCTGGGGGCAGCCTGGCTTCCCTTGGAGACTCAGCATGGCCAGCTCCTCAACTTTTATCCCTTTGACCAGAGGGGGCTCTCACCAGGCTTTGATGTTCCTGGCTTGAACACGTACAAAGTCCTTCGGATGGCTCAGAAACCTGTCTTCCATACTTCAGTTTGAGCTCAGCCTGTCCTCACCTCTTACTTCCTTGGTCTCAGCTGCTGGGACAGAACCATGGGATGTCAGAATTGGGAGGGAAGGCTTGAGGTTTGGCAATATGGAATGGTGACAAGAGCATGTAGAGGCCTGGGTTTGAATGCCAGCTGCGACACTAACCGGCTGTGTGACTTTGGACAAATTCTGTACCCTCTCTGGGTCTCAGTTTCCTTTTCTATAAAGTAAGGCCCGCAGACTAGATGCTTCCCAAGATTTCTCTTAGCTCTAACGTTCTGTGCTCTCAGATTATAGATTTAGAGCAGGAAGGGGATCTTAGACAGCATGTAGTCTCCATTTTACAGTTGTGGAAACCGAGGCCCAGGGTGATTCAATGATTTGCCCAATATTACACAAGGAGTAACAGAAATAGCTCTGACTCCCAAACTAAGTTCCCTTTCTACTGTCCCATTTGACCAGCGCTTCCTTCCAACTGGCACTTTCTGTGTTCTGACAATCCTTCTCCTAATGGTCTATGATTCTGAAAGCCTGCTCTATGGATGTCCTGCCCTGCCCACTACCTCCACCCCCATCCTCCTGGGGCCATGGCAAGGTCATTACCAGATCTGACCACCAGGTGGCAGCATTGTTCCATGGAGCAAGTGCTCTCGCGCTACAAAGTCTCCCAAAAGTTAATAGTGCAGCTTAAAATAACGCTAAGCCTTTTGAAACCCCCTCTATTCATTTTTAACATGTCCTTGCCTCTGGGCCATCGCCTTACCCCTGCCCTCCAAGTGTTGGTTCCATGTAACATGCAGCAGCTAGACCTTATTCACCAAGTCCTTTCCAGAATCCTATATATTCTTTCATCAGATCTGGGAAGCGGCTGCACAGAAAGTCAGTCAATAAACATTTGATAAGCACCTACTATGTGCCAGGAAGCTTTGGCTTATTCAGTTTTTCCCCCTCCCCTCCCTTGCTTCCCTCTCCCTATGTCAGGAGCACAGTGCTCTCTTCCCTGTTTCCTATCTAAACTGGCCCTCTCTCATGAAAGGCTGCAAAATCAGTCCTTTACACATTAGTGTGAATTTATGTCATTAAGGCTACTTCCTGCGAGGGCACTGTTAGCCAGTCAGAAGGGACTTAGAACTTGAACTTTGGAAAGAATAGAAAAGCTGTAAAAGATATTGGAGTGGTTTGCCATTTCCTTCTTCAGATTATTTTACAGATGGGGAAACTGAGGCAAACAGGGCAAAGTGACCTGCCTAGGGGCACACAGCTAGTTGTGTCTGAGGCTGGATTTGAACTCAGGAAGATCAGTCTTCCTGACTCCAAGCCCTGAGTGCCACTTGGCTTCCTTTAGGTCACATGGGATGGGAAATAATCAGGCTTTTTCTGTCTCTTTGCTTGGGTTAATAAGTGCTCACATTTTTATAGTGCTTCAGTGTTCACAAGAGGCTAATAATCCCACGAAAGAGGAGGAATAGGTTTTATTATCCCCATTTTACAGAGAAGAAAACTGGGGCCTGGAGAAGGGAGGTGATTTTTCCAAGATCATACAAGTAAGTAGAGGAACTGGAAAGGACCAGGTGTCTTAACTCCACCTGATCCTGTTTTTGCTGGAACACTTGGGAAGTGTCTGGGAAACTCTTTTTTTCTGCCCCAGGCCAAGCTGAATGGCTCCTACCTGAGGATTCTAGGTCATCATCAAAGATATCAGTTTGTTAATACCTGTACTTGGATCAGCCCATGAGCTCATCCAAAGCAATAACTGCTCATTCCCCCACTGAGTACTGAGAAGGGTGCCCTATCTCTGCACAGCACAGGGTTGGGAGCTGGGGTTACTCCACAGTTTTCTTCGGGGGGGGATGTGAAAACTAGTGTCAACCACAGTCACTTGGTGTCCTCAAACTGAGGCAGGGGCCAAGGGGCTCCTCCAGCCGTCAGGTCCCACCCATCATTCTCAAAACTGCTCCATGCCCTGGGTCTCTCCAGCCAGGCCCAGCCCCTCTGGGCAGGGAAGCCAGGCCCTGTGGGTCACATGGCTCAGCCAGCATGTACCTGGGACTCCTGGAGACCCCTGAGGACGGTCTGAAGGTCTTAGTGCTCTCTCTAGATGGCTCTAAGGCCCCACTAACCCTCTTCTGTACCCATGCTCCCCATTTCCCTTTGAAGGTTTCTTCCTCTCTGTCTGGCTCTCCTAGGTGTTATTGGCCTAAATGACAGAGCTCTTCCACTGGGCCGTCACTGGACATCTGCATTCTTGTCTTACATGACTCTGGAGGAGGGAGTGAGGCTGCCTCACTTAAATCCAGTTCACTCTCAAGTCAAGACTTCGCCCCATGATGTCATTGGCCCTGTTTGAGAAGGCAGGACCAACGAAAATGATAACAGAGCCCCTTCCCCTTGCTGGGGAGTGTGTGTGTGTGTGTGTGTGTGTGTGTGTGTGTGTGTGTGTGTGTGTGTGTTTCTATGGGTATATTTGTGCAAGAGTCTGTGATATGTATTATATGTGTGTGTGTATAAATACATGTATATGAGATATGTGTGAGTTTGTATATATGTAAGGGTGTAAATTGTATGATGTATACATTATGAGCATGTTTGAATAACTCTTGTTTTAAAAAATCCATTTCTAGTGGATTCGGGTGGAACTGAATATTGCAAGCTAGGACTATTTTTTATATATCTTGTTAGACAGTTAACAAGCATTTATCATGCACCTACTGTGTGCCAGAAACTGTTCTAAGTGTTAAAGATACAAAGAAAGGCAAAAGACAGTCCTTGCTTCCCAGAGGCTCAGAGTCTAATGGGGAGGACAAGAGTATTTATGTAGAAGATACAGGCAGGGTAAATTGGAGGTGAGCTCAGAGAAAGGGACCAGTGGTGGGTGGGGGTCCCGGAAGGCCTCCTGCAGAAGGTGAGATTTGAGTGGAGGCTTGAAAGAAGCCAGGGAAGTGGGGAGGGGGAGCAGCCCGGGAAAAGGCCCAGATCCCTGGGGGCAGGAGTGAAAAGCCTCCTGATTGTAGATTAGCATATGTGGGTATATGTTTGTTTACGCGTGTGGATGGGCATGAAATGTCCGTGTTTATGTGTGAGTGCCTGTATGTCTGGATTTGTGCACGAGGGTGGATGTGTGTACGAGAGAGTGTGCGTGGGGCCATCCGTGTGTGAGTCCAAGATGAGGGGGAGAGAGGAGGCTGGGCAGTGAGCAGACTTCAAAGGGGCTCTGGCTGCTGCCTCGGGTATCTCAGTAATGAGGCGCAGGAGGACAGGGGAGGCAGCAGGGCCCCCTTTGAAGTCTTCCTGTCCTGCTCCCCTGGGCTCCAGCTCTGGGGGGAATGGGGCACTGGCAGCTGAGCCTGGGAGGGGGGCTGGGTCCTAGAGCACCCCAGCTCAAGTGTGGGGGGAAGGGAGGGGAGAGGGAGAGGGAGAAAAGTCAGGGAGTCAGAGGAGCCTCAGGATGGGGCTGGCCCAAGAAACCCTCCCCTCTGAGGCCTGGGCTGGGATCAATTCTGAGTCGGAAGGAACGAGTGAATGGGAGCTAGAGCTGGTGAAGGCCGGAGGGATCCTTGGGAAGGCAGCATGGTTCTAGGGAGACAGGGCTGGACCTAGGCTCAAATCTGGGCTCTGTCCCAAGCCGTGTGACCTTGGGCAATCACTCAGCCTCTCTGAGACTCAGTTTCCCTAAATATAAAACTAAGAGGGTGAACTAAATGCACTGTGATGGCCCTTCCAGCATTAAATCGGCAGTCTGGTCCCACCTCTTTCATCAGACAGATGAGGCCCAGAGGAAGAAATAACTTGGCCAATGCCACACAGTTAGCAAGATCCTACATCAAAAGGATTTGGAGGGGGGCAGCCAGGTGGCGCAGTGGACAGAATACTAGCCCTGAAGTCAGGAGGACCTGAGTTCAAATCTGGCTTCAGACCAAACACTTGACACTTACTAGCTGTGTGACCCTGGGCAAGTCACTTAACCCCAATTGCCTAAAAATAAATAAATAAATAAATAAATAAAATAAAAAAGGATTTGGAGTGGGAAGGGGATTGAACTAGGAGCAATGCAGAGAGTGGCAGATTTCAGTTTTATATAAGGAAAAACTTCCTAACAATGAAAGTCATCCAAAAGTCAAATGGGGAGCTCACTACACGAGATAGTGAGCTCCCCATCATTGGACATATTCAAGCAGCCCAGAAGGAAAACCATTTAGTGATGCTACAGAGGGATCCCAGCTCACATCGAGGTTGGACTAGGTGACCTACCATGGTGGGCAGTAAGATAGATTTGGAATCTGGAAGAGCTGGTTTAAAATTCCACTGTTGTTGTCCAGTCATGTCCAGCTCTTCATGACCCCATTTGGGGTTTTCTTGGCAAAGATGCTGCAGTGGTGTGCTAGTTTCTTCTCCAGCTCATTTTACTGATGAGGAAACTGAGGTAAACAGGGTTAAGTGACTTGCTCGGGGTCACATAGGTAGTAAGTTCGCTATTTCCTTCTTCAGCTCATTTTACAGATGAGGAAACTGAGGTAAACAGGGTTAAGTGACTTGCTTGGGGTCACAGGACAAATTTAAACTCAGATCGTCCTGACTCCAGACCTGGCACTCTGTGCACCAAGGCACCACCTAGCAGCCCTAACTATAAGTAATAGTTGACTAATAATAATAATAATAATAATAATAATAATAATAATAATCTTTTCCCTCTCTTCGAGTGGATCATTTGAAAGGCCGTGCCTTTCTCATTGGAAAGACAAAGCAGGATGGTGGGGAGGAGGGGGAGTTCCCTGCCCTGGGGGATGAGAGAGCAGTGTGAAACAGGGCGGGAGAGAGGAGAAGAGGATGGGCTTAGAAGGGATGGAGTCCTAGAGAAATCGTGGGATCAGGCTGGGGGAGAATCTGAACTCTGCCTGAGGTGGGCATTGAAGCAGGATCTGGTGAGCCAATGAGAGTGCCCCTTGGGTAGTCTGGCCCACTTAGAACTCCGACTTGGACCAGTGGGAGAAAGAAGCGATTTCTCGAGAAGA